GTTAGCGCTTCCTTCTCAATCTGGCTGTAATTTTTCTCCGCCACTGTCAGCGACTGTGCTGCGTGCGCAATGGCGTTCCTTTCTTCTCTTGGAAACACGCGGGAAATGACAGCACCTACCCCATAGTTGGAGGCGTCCGAAGCAACCACAATCTCCAAGTTTGGGTTGAAGTAGCTCAAAAGTAAATCAGAACTAAGCGCTGACTTAACTATGTCAAAGGATTGTTGGCACTCCTTTGTCCATCGCCAGTTTTTTCCTTTCATCAGCAACTCGTTCAGAGTATCTCTAGTCTAATGTAGACTTGGCAGGAAGGCACTATAATGGCTTACAAGACCGAGAAATGAACGAAGTCCGTCAACATTCCTTGGTGATGGCATCAGCTTGACGGCTTCTGTGTTAGCGGGATCCTGACGCCTGCCATGTTTGTCAATGATGAACCATAGAAACTTGACACCCCTTCGGGAAATTGCATTTTTCTACTCGTAACCGGAACTCAGCTTCTTCTAGACGTGAGAGCACTTTCTCTAACGTGGTTAGCAAATTTTGTGAGTCAGACGCCATAATAAATGCGTCATCCATGTATATTGCGACCTCAGGGATATCGTTCAACAGCGTATTCATGATTTGGTGAAAGATGGCGGGAGCAGTTTTCACTCCGAATGGCAACCGATTGTACTGGAAAAGTCCAAGATGCGTTTATACCGTCAGTAATGTTTTGCAGTTCTCGCCTACTGGAACTTGTAGGTAAGTATCTGCTAGATCGAGCTTCGCAAACCATTTACCGCCGTTAAGTTTGGTGAACAAATCTTCATATATACGCAAAGAATATTGGTGGTTCTCCAACATGGAATTTAAGCCGGTTGAACAGTCGCCACAAATACGTAACTTGCCGTTTCCTTTCTTCACCACAACGATGGGTACCGTCCATTCTGAGTAATGTACGCGCTCGATTATGCCTTTCGACTGCAACCGATTTAACTCAGACTCCACTATTAGTTGGTTGGCGTACGGCACTGGACGTTTTGGTCTAAAAACGGGTCTGGCGTCAGATTTAAGGTTCAGCTCAGCTCTAGCTATCCGGCAGCATCGAAAACCGAGTTGAAACAAACTTTCGTGGCGTCACTTCAGTTCAGCAATTTGGCTTTAAAGTTCGTGGTTCGTTTTCGGCGTCTGCTAGTTTCTCGACTTGTAATTTCTGGCATATACTGTTAATTGACTGGTCAAGTAAGTTCAATTCCTCCGTCCAATCGAGACCCAGCAAATTCAATCCAGATTACTCTGTCACAAAACAGGTTGTACAAATGTGCTGATCACGGAAACTAACTTGACAATGCAACTCTCCGCGTAATTTCAAGGTACCTTCGGATGTGTTCCGTGCTGTGTTGTCTTTGTGGACAAGTGGTGGTCGTCCCAGCATACACCGTGTTTCCCAACAAATCAAAGTGATGTCTGACGCAGTATCCAGCTGCAGCCTAACCTCTTTATCATTGATCTTCAACATTGTTAATTTACTCCTGCTGACGCCGTCAACCTTGGAAGTCACCGCCACGGTTTTGGTCTCATCGTAACATTGAAAACTCACCGGGATTCGACACGGTTTTCCGCTCACTGCTGGTCGCTTCGCAAGACAACATGACTCCTTGTGTCCTACAAATGTGATTTCGGAACGGGCAGTTTTGAGCAAAGTTCCATTCCCTGCAAAACCAACAAGCCGAAAGGGATTTAGAATGTGGTGAACTCACATGAACCAATTCTTTCTGAGGACTTCGACGGACCCTAAATGATATTCTGGCTACTCGGGGTGGATGACTGTTGGATCATCGCAGCATCATGCTTCAAGTTCATCAACCGTTAGCATTCGTTCGTCACTTCTTGCAGTGTGATCTCGGGATTTTGTTCAATTCTGTTCAGTACTCTTGTTCGGACATCAGCATCTTTGCTCGCTTGGAGACCGCAGACCTAAATAAGACACTTGCACTGATCACCTGTCATCTTGTGAGACGGTGACCGTTCACACTCACGATTCACGTGACTCGAGCAAGTTACCCAGTCTTCATCGTCTCACTTGGTCATTCTCAGGCGCCTGTATCGGATATTGAATAGTGGCGACTGCTCTCCAAATATCTCCGGCAAAGTAGCAGCCGCTCCATCAAATGTTAAATCAGTGCTCTTCTTCGGTACGATAAAATTCATGAACTTGTCATGCTCGGCTACACCCAATTTCCGCAGCATGAGGCGAACTCTCTTGTCCTTTGAGACACCAGCTAAGTCAACGCGAAACAAGTCTTCATATTTATGGAACCACGATTCAAAACTAATATCGACATCGTACCGGAACTCACGAACTTGTTGGGTCATGGTTTCTGTTGTGAGACTACTTTCACTTGCTCATTTTACCGAGCCTACTTTTAGTGACAAATTCTTGGTAAGCGTTTCGATCAGCCTGGCATGTGCTTTCTCAAACTGCACCTGCTGTTGCTGCAACAGAGCCTGCAGTTATTCAAGACGGACTGCCATCTTTGGGTTCTTCTGACTCCTGTCGACACTGTGGTAAGCGCTTCTTCTTACCTCTGCTCTCTGCCACTCCGAGTCGCGTCAAGGGAAAGAACTCACTCAGGCTCTACACACAAGCCCTCTATTTGCAAGTATGAGGAAAAGTACGACTAGCTGTGCTTTTAAAAACTCACTGGCCTACTCAATCGATCGTCTGCTCGACCGCACTGAGGCAGACGTCTCCCAAATTCAGCTCCGCTTACGTCTCTGTTAAAACTATCAATGTGAAAGCAACAGTCGATCGCAGTAAAACGATAGACACACATCACCACTCAAGTGCGTGGTCACACAAGCGGTGTTTCATTCCTATTGCTTCTACGAGTAATCATGATAGATAAGGCAAGATGGGATTTGGAAGCGATGAGATACGAGAATATAAAAATAAAAATTTGACAGTCTAGATGAGGTGGATATAGTACTGTCTAAGGTATCGTGTATATCTTGTGAGGAGTCATTTAAAATTCTGGGTGCAAAGTTGATGCTTGCACCAACATGTTTGTTAACAATGAGACCTATGAGCGTTTCTTTCCCTAAACTGGAGCAACGAGAAATAAATTTTAGCAGACGGACGAGAAGGACATGATCTTTTTGAAGCATTCCTGGTAAAATAACTGGGGAACAATGCAACGAGTGACGGAGAATACATGCAGTTACAAAACTTAGTATTAAAACACGGGGAACGGATAGCTTGAGGACGTTAAAAGAGGGCCTTCTGAGTTTCTTAAACGTTTTAAGAATATGCTATGTACTAGAGACAGTCTGTTGGAATGTGGAACACGGAACGTTACGTCATAGCATTTGGCAGGGTTGGCATAGAGGAACCAAGAGATCGATCAAGTCAATATTTCGTCTAGCACTTGCTGGAGTTTCAGCGTCTTCGATGACTGGAGTTATGCATACCAGGACGACAAATACAGCTGATTTGCAACCTATGAAGTTTGACAGAATGAGGAGACTCTTGACTTAGACGTAGAAGAAATAAAGTGGGATAAGATGGCTCCCTGCGAGACACCATAATTGGATTAAGTGCAGAAAACTTACTGCTGCATGGCTTCGTGAAGTGCGTGCGATTTGTGATGTAATCACGTGTCACACTACATACATATGGCGGACGCCGTTCTCCGATACAAATTTGTGCAGTGATCTATCGAGCCCCCCCCCCCAGAGTTGTTGATGTACTCGAGACATAGAAGCCCTACACTAGTATCCATTGCGAACGCAATGGAATGCACCAAATAAGTGACAACATCGAATGTAGGGCGTCTTGGTTTATAGGCAAACTGTTTAACATTAGCAGTATGATTGCCTGTGAGAACGCGCGGGAGCAGTTGTTTTTTCACCATCTTTAGCAGCGCGGACGTGCCGCAATTGGCCGACATTTCCGAGCTCCTTTTGTATGCACTGCTTCTATTCTGGCTGCTTTCGAAATGTCGGGGATGATACTGACTTGTAGCCTAACGGTAACGAACTTGTTTTGTAATCATGCGGTGCGGGTTCGAGCCTGCTTAGGGGCTGGGCGACCCTCGCAGTATTCTTAGCCTACGTGCGACCGATGGCGGTTGCGCAGCAACCGAGGCGTCGATTCTGCGTAGCAGCGTACTGCTGATGCTTTCCTTTTCTTTTTCTACCGACCCAGGATCTCTGTCACAGGTGTCTTTAAAATACTTGCTCACCCTTTCATAGCGATTACTGGTAGAGCATCCCGTCCATTAATCTAGTTTTATTTCCGTTCTGCGACTTCCTTATAAACACTTATGGAATCGCACAAAGTGGGGGACTCTGTGGGGATGGAGGAAGGTAGGGGAGTGTATTACATGATGAGGAACTGAACTCAGCGTTCTGCAGGGATGCTTTCCATAGAGTTCTTTGGAAGTCTCCACAGGTATCGGCAACTGTGATTGCCTAAAACGGTCTGAATGTGCAGAATGCTACTTTTAAATTCAGCTTTTGTACCCACTGACAGACCCATAGCAAGGGTAGTTAGCTTACATTTTTGAGCCTGTTCTTCTTTGATTGGTTGAGCAACAAACACCGAAATCTCTCATTTTGCAAATAGATTATCTCAAAGGGACAACACAGCTCAAAACAGAAGTTATTACAGTTCGTGACTTTCTCGCATTGATTTGACAAGTCTTCATTCGTGAAATTCGGAATATCAGTTGAACAGAGGTTTGATTTAGGTTTTCCGTTGTTATGTGCTGAGCAGTTCCGTTGTTCAACAGTTCTGGACAGTCTTATTGTCATCATAACATAGTTAGTCTTACTGTATAATTTGGGACATATCCTTACCATGTAATGGTCGGAATTACCAAGGGGAACACGCTTTTGTATAGAAATCAGGCTGAATCGAACTGATTTGGTTAGACATGCTACTTACCATTATTTTATCTGTTTCTTTTGCCCTTCTGTTTTTCTCCTCATCGTCACCCTTTATTTCTGTGATTAAGGTGGCGAAGAAGAGGATGTGGAGGTTGATGTGGAAACATTGGAGCCGGTCGCTGCTCTGTTAAGCAGGTCTGTTCCCACACTATTTCGCTCTCTGATCACTCAGAATTTCTCGTTTCTGATAAAACCGTACGGCAACTGTCAGTTCCCAGTTCCGCTACATTCCTCTGAGTTGTCAAGCTAAACTACTACTTTCGCAGTTTGTCTCTCCATTTGGAGCCATCTCACGACCCTCCTGCTGTTTTTAATGCATCGGTATTGCTTCTCTCCTCCAGGGCGTTAGCTGAATATCAGCGAAAAATAACATGGTCCATATTACACTGCCTTCCGCAGACTATCTCTTTAAATTTCTTGCACCTTAGACAGCATACTTACCACTTTTTCAATCGCCGTTACTTTTACTTTATTTCTTATTCTTCAGCGATGAAGATGTGGAATGTGAGGATATTCTCATGTACTTATCCATCTCACCAGAAGTGGACAATCCTGATGATTTATCTGGTGGTGAGGAACACGTAGAATATGGTATGGTTGGTATGAAGAAACCCTCTGACTCTCCTGCGCGTCCATCGGAGCCTCCGACAAAGCAGGCAAAGAGAAAAGACAGTTCTGTTAACAGCACCTCCTCGGTTGTACCTAGCATTAATATCAATCTTCCTGGGGCGCACAGCGATGAGGTAGGTCGTTTTCATTTCGTCTTCTGAGTAACCAACTTAATGTGTACAAACTGGTACTACGCAAATGTCATCTGCGCTCATCTAATTTCTTCGAACCTCGGCTTGCTTTTTGACTTATGAACCACAGCCGCAAATCGGATCATCACCACTTTTCATACGGTGCCGCGGCTGTGTCCCAACCCACTTGCATGCTTAAATGTGCTCACACAGTCTAAGGCACATTACGTATCGCCGTTGCGCAACTTCAGTTGGGTTGCCGGTTCTTCTACTTAAAGCAGCACGAATAAGCGAAAAGAGGATACCACTGGCTACTCCTTTTCCGCGTTTTTCTGAATACTGTATCATAGAGCAAGTAGAAATGAATTCTGTACAACTCTCTCGAAATATGTTGAAAACGTTATAAAAGTTTTCAACCGTGAATATCGTTGTCGCTCTCATGTAACATTTAAAATATCTGACGATATTTCAGGACTCACAAATGTGATATGTCATCGTTAGTGTGCAATCGTTCTCTGAATCGAATAGTGGTAAAATATAAATCTAACAACGTTTTGAACTGCTGCACAGATGTTACCTCAATCACATGTTCAAGTAAAATGTTCCAAACGTTTACCACTCTCCGTTCGAAGCACAGTGGGCGGGGAACACGTTTCACATCCGGCACGACAAGTGTGTATCTGTGTCCGCGTGTGCTGCATGGCCCTCGTAAGTGCAGAATAAGCCTTAGCATTGGGAAGTCACCGAGATGTAGAATACGGTAGGTCATAATGAGGTCGACTCGCATCCGACGGTAGGACAAGATGTAGAGTCCTAGTTTCTCTTTTACCTCCCAATCGGTGTCTAAAGCCTTTCATCCCCAACGCAAGTAACGGCTTCATTTTACTGAAATCTTGCCATCTGCAAATTTATCCCTACGGAACTGCACAGTTCCTTATTATCATTTCCTAGCCGTTGCACCCCTCGATCGTGTTCATCTTACATATGCTACAACAGCTGTGTGATGAGGATTTGTGCGGCTCTCACCCGCGCAGCTCTGTACACGCTGATTCTTCAGTTACAATCGCATCTAAAATGTATGGTTACTCTTTGATCCCCGTGAATAGTCCTCTGTGCGCCTTCTACTTAACATCAGGCAACGCCATTGCATGGCTCATAGTTAATCTCTGTTTGTGACTGGTTAAGACCCTGATTTATTTCCATCGGGTACTATGTGCTGATCTGCCGGGCGCTGTCTCGTTAATTCTGTATAGCTAATGACCTACGTCAAGATGGCTCCTTTCCTGTTAGACTTAGGCTGGAAACGGTCACATATAGCTCTCCCTTATCTGGAAAATTTTACTGAGTGATTGATTGAGTGTCAGTGTATGTGGACGGCATTGCTCTCCTTGGGTCTGCCGCAGTGGCCATTCAAACACAGCTGGATAGTCTGACGCGTAGCGCTGAACGCGTCAGCTTATACTTTGCAGTTCAAAGCGCATAGTACTGTTGCAGGATTGGACCGACACATCACCGGCTTTAGCTATCTGCGAACAGCCACTGAAACTGGTGGACCGGTGCAGTTACCCTGTTAACTGTGTCACCTTTGGTGGTCACATCACTCAGGAGGTAACTTCGCGTATCAGTAAGACGTGTGTGAAAAAGGTTGAAAGAGAATAAAAATAAAAAGAAAACGTCGAGGGAGTACTGTCGACTGCATCGACAGAACAGTTGATACTCCCGGTTACCCATTCCTTGGGGTGTTTGTCTTGTTCGATATGCCCTACCTCTGTTCTTTGACTGGATTGCCTGACCTGCAAGGCAATGTGGAGCAAGTCCAGCGCTGGAGTGTGATTGCAGGGACCCGTTGGGATCCTTGAGGATTTCGAACAATTCACACGTGCGCCTGTTGATTAGTTCGTCGAGCTTGATTTACGGGTTGCAAACATTTCGCCATCATAAAGCCAACGTAAAGCGAACATCCATTTACAGTGACTGGCACTAGCCAAGCAGAGTAACCAAATGTAGCCTTACACTAATGTCACGAAACAAAGGAGGATAAGCACTGCATACCCAAAAATAAAAAACTAGTACAATAATTGTGTAACAACTAGATATTCCTTTAACATGCTCAAGTAGGAAAGTGATACGAAAAACACAATGGAATGTGTTCTCGCAACTGGCACTGCTGAAGAAGACACGGAAATGAGCGTCCATCAACAATGATGGGTGTGTATCGATGGGACTAACGCAGTAGAACGTTTAAACAACAGTCAAGAAGTAGAAATTAGGAAGAGTGAAGAATGGCTATTAAGCTCGTTCACAAATTTGAATGTCAACTAGCTATTCTCGTAACACCACCTTATCTTTGCACGATAGTCAGCTGTTTGTGACAGTATGTTGTCTACACAAGGTGTAGGCGCCTTGAACCTTAATGTTTGCTTAGGGCCTTAAGGTTTTCAGGTAAGTCCCCCTTCTCTCTCTCTTATTATTCTTTATTTCTGAGGTCATCATGGTTGTATGGCAGCAAAGCATCAGTTCAAATGGCTGATGTATTGCTGTTGTTGATGATGATGATGATTCTCCTAACACTTCCCTCTCTTAAAAAATGTGCTATCTGGAGGTCACACAGCTCTTCCGGTCGTCGTCCCTGTTTTTAGATATCGGGCTCTTCCTTTTGCAACTCGTTCACGATTTGACTCCTCATATTGTTTTTCTGTGTCGATGACTGCTAGCCTTAAACCAAGCACGTCAAACTGGCGATCTTTGAGGTGTCCTGAGTTTAATTTCACTGCCGTAGACCGTGCTGCGTGCTCCAAGTGTTCAGTGGGCGCAGAGTCCCTGCCCGTCATTTCTTGCTACTGGATCGTAGTGCGGGTCGAAGCGGGGTCTCCACATTACACATTGTCGTTAACATGTATCCGTCGGTTTCTGATATCACTAAATTTGCATTGAGCGGATTTGGCTCTTACCATGCCGCTATTTCGATAAGGATTAACCGCAGTGGGGCAACCAAAATCGCAGGGCGATCGGTTACATCGAAAAGATAATAAAATGTGGCGGAATCGTCTGATTTTATTACACACTATTGTTAATCTGAGTTCCATCTGTAAATCTACACTTAACGACCCAATGGCTTCGCCTAGCCCGTGGCTTAGTCTGCGGCGAACGGCGCATGTTGAAGCAGCCAGTCAGCGAACATGCTGCAAACATCGACCAGTTTGCGTAGGTATCACACGCAGTTCCAGTGTAGAACGAAATCGTCCATTTTCATGTATCCATCACTGGATTACATTCTCTTATTTGCTAGGCTTGATTAAATCACCTCAGAGTTAACTGCGCATTGGAGAGCATATCCCAAAACGGATTGTTAAAATATCGACACAACCAGTAGCCGAACGAGAAAACTTATCTAAGCTGCCGGCATCATCGATCACCAGACACCTACTCGAATCAAGCCACCAGGTTGACCCAAGGTCAACATTTACAGTTATCTATCGAAATGACAACCCCAAAGTATTGAGGTTTGCCGAAGCTGTGGCATTTAACTGGCATCGCCCTATCCTGTGTGTACAAAAGCAATTAACAGTCTCCCTGAAGCTTCCTTGTGGCTCATGACCCTACGATCAAGCCCACTGATCTGTTATTCTTGCGTCTACGTACTTTGTGACCAGTTTCAAATCTTCGACTTTTTGTCACGTGATTCATCTTTATGTTGTCAGTTTGCGAGTGCGCAGATAACACGAAATGGTTCCATCTCGCAATACCAGTCTTCTCATTGTCTTATTTAGAATGATAAAGGGAACTCAGTGCTATTAATATGTAATATTATTATTTTTAGAAACCACCTTTTGACACCCGCCATAAGGCTGACACTTCTGTTAGTGCTGACCGTTTCCATTATCTTTTTTGTCTAACTATGCTGGCTTTGCTTTTCAAACATTTACTTAGGAATTGTTACTTCTTTATCCATTAAGGTTCACCCCATAGTCAGTAGCCGAAGATCGTCCTCCAAATCACTCGTCTCAGATGGTGCAAAACATGGTGGTGGTTCTACCTCTGCAGGGTACGGATGCATCGGGGCACGCAAAACGGGGACGCGTCAACGAGAACGAGGCAAAGTGCGCAAATAATCGGTTTCTGTCGACTGCCTCGTTTGCATGTACATTCTTGAATATCTTCCTTACACTTCATGTAAAATTCATACCAACTACTGTGTGTAGCCATTTTTTCGTCTTCGGCGGCTCGTTTAACTTGTTCCACCGCAAGAACCTGTCATTGACGCAATGAACAAGCTTTATACGGATTACAAACAATACGTTACAAATCCCATTGAATAATCTGTTGGGTTACCGTAAAAGTTTATAAAAACAGTTAGTATCGAAAGAAGAATTTATCGTTTTTTATGCTGTGGTGCTGCACTCCGTGTGGTTTCACTGCTAATATACCCAAAATAAATCGCAGAGGTAGGATGGTTTCAGTGCAGAAACGATCGATTCATGGAGAGCATTCCACAGATGACACGTGAATTGAAAAGACATTTCTGCGATACTCCAGACGGCTGCGCTCTTCTGATAGCTTAGGGAGTGACCTTAGGTTTGTATTGCTGTTGAGTTGCAGTAAGGAACGGTACACATTATGTGGATCGTGCAGAATCAAGTGAGCCACTATCAGGTCGCTTTTTAATTGATGGTCATCACCATTATACACGTTAGCTAGAGGTGAGAAACACCTCAGCCACTGTGCCGTAATACCTAAATGAAAAAAGGGAATAAAATGCAACAGGTGCAAGCTAGCTAAGCTACCGGTAACGGATGGGCATCGTTCCGGTAAGCTACTTGCCGGCTACTATGCAGTAGAAAAACTAATTTACTATGCAAAATTATAGAAGGCTAAATAGTGCGGTCGTGGTTAGAGGAGTAGGCTAAAAGGGATGGGGTGGGACAAAGCAATTCACAGCACGAGCGCCACTGAAGTCGACTCTTAGTCATATCAACAAGTGTATCCAGCCAAACGTGTTCATCGTCTTTCGGACCCCAATCAGGGAGCCGAGAAGCTCCAACCGAGGCCAGCTCAGAAGTGAGGGCTTTCATTCATCTCGACCAAGTCATCCGTTGGCCACCCCTCCTCTTCTTCCATCCACACCCCCGGCACACGAATAACGCACGTCACGGGAGTCGGTGGGCTGGCATGTGTAACACGTGGCCGAGCCATCGGAGCCTGCTGCGTGAAATAACGATGCTGAGCGGTTCAGATCCTTTTTCAGTGCCGTAGACAAAACGTCGAACACGCTCGTTGCTTACTCCGTGTTCCCACCAGATGTGAGCTAATTTGCGAAGGCGCCAGTGGTCTAACGTAACTAGCCTCTTCAAGTCCACTGCTCTAAGGGGCCAGGTTTCACAACCGAAGAGTAGGGTCGAACGTACTGCTGCATTGTACACTCTACCCTTCAGGGAAGAGTGATGACGCGCCGGCACCATAAGTGGCGAAGGTTAGCAAAAGCACTTCGAGCTTTTGCTATATGGTTTGTGATCTCATCTTCAATCCCACGGGCGCTAATACAACTTCCCAGGTAGTTGAATTGCCGAACGACTTTTAGCTGATCCCCACCAACGGTCGGCGTAGGAAGCGGTCCAGGCCAATATTGGAGGAACGGTTTGCACTTCGGGGGTGCGAAGCAAAGCCCGAAGTGACGGACAGCCAGTGCTAATCTGTCCGGTGCCGCTTGACACGTTTGTGAACTGTCACAGGTTAGGGCAATGTCGTTAGCGTACTCCAAGTCAAGAAGTCGTTCTCCTGGTAGCAGATCCACACCTTCTAAGTCGTGTGCTGTAAACGCGATTTCCATGACTTCACTAATAGCGAAGTTGAAGTGGAAAGGTGACAGGGGACATCCTTGTCTCACACAGTTGGGGATATTAAATGGTGATGACCGCTTGCCGTAAGCCATCACTCTGCCTGAGCTACGAGCGTATAATGCTCGGATAATATTTACATATTTCTCAGGTACACCTTTCCTGAGTAGACAGTCCCAAAGTGCACGTCTATCCACCGAATCGAATGCACCTTTGATATCGAGGAACACGACAATGGTGGGCCCCGCCAATATATGTGACGGTGCTCCAACAACTGACGCAAAGTGAAGAGGTGGTCAATGCAGCTACGACCTCGACGAAACCCGGCGTGCTCTTAACGAATACGGATTTCACGAGTGCCAGTCAGTCTGTGAAAGATGACAGAGGCAAGCAATTTGGAGGCGATGGAGATCGGACTGATTCCTCTATGGTTGCGGCATTCTGATCGTGAGCCCCCCTTGAAAATTCGGACTATGACGGAGCGGCTCCAGTCGGTTGGGACAGTTTCCTGCTCCCACATTCTCACTATTTACTCGTATAAATCATCTACTAGAGCAGGTCCCCTGAATTTTAAGAGGGCTGGAGGAAAATCATTTTGACCCACGGCTTTATCTAACTTCAACAGTTCGATCTCATGTTCGACTTCTGAGCGAGAGGGTAGATCAAAAGGGACAGCCGAGGGAGCGAGGTGATCAGTGACCGGCGAGAAGTCTGACAATTCTGACCGACTAAACTGCCTTTCAAAATGCCCAGCCCAATGCTTTAAGCGTTTTGACAAGTTGTGTATAGGCTGTCCACTCTCGTCACTTATAGTTTCACTAACACCAGGTCTTTTGCTGCACGCTTCCCGTATCAACCGGAATAACCCAGGTCAGTAGCCAGTTCCATCTCCGATGCACGATGAGACCCCTAGGATTCGCGCTCTCTTCGGGCTAGCACGGAGTTTTGCTTGGAGCTCTTTGCGAGTTTCTTTGTGTTCCCTTCCAGGTGGAATATGTCGGCGAGCATCGATAAGTTCCAGAGACTTCGAAGAGACCCAATGTCCATTTGGCGATCAGACTTGCCACATGAGGATTTGCTTGCTGCTAGTAATGTCTGCTGAATATGATACCAGTGAGCTTTAATTACATCCACTGAGCGCTTACTCAACTCGCATGACAGCGTACTTTGATAGGCGTTCAGAACAGCAGGTTTCGCCAGTTAGCTGGTGTCAATGCGCTCACAACGTCATCGTGTGCGTCCGCCAAAGCGCATCCTCAGGTCAGCACATAAAACTGTATGGTCGGTGTCCATATATGTGATGCAAATCGAGCGACTGTTCTGGACGCAGCATCTCCATCGGTAGCTTATCGCAATGTGATCGATTTGCGTCCATAGCTGGTTCGAGGCTGTTGGGCGCCAAGTCACTCTCCGGCTGGTGCTGTGTCGAAAATCAGTGCTCGCGAGAAATAAGCGAGCATCTTCACACAAATGAACTAACCACTCACTGTTGTCATTACGAGAGCCTACATCATGTTGGCCGCCCAGATGCAGTTCATCAATGGATAATTGTCCTACTTGAGCGTTTAGATCCCCAGCCAGCACAACGGTGTCCGAGCTTCTTCTGTGGCGAAGGAGCTAGTTCAATTGGCGCTAGAATTCGTCTTTTACCGAATCGTCGCTAGTTTCTGGGTGCATAGGCAGCGGTGATGAATAGACACCTGTTAGTCCCACGCGACTTCGAAGCTTTGAACGAGCCAGCCAATCGGACTGTACACATCCGGCTATTGATTGGAATCCAGTCAACCAGAGCAACTTCAGCCCGGGGACTCAGGGCGATAACAACACCGGCTTGGCCGGTGCTCGAAGCTGCATCGTCACCGGATAGGCGCAATGAGAAAGTGCTGGTGGTGTCAACTGAAGGGGATCTCAAAGTGAGCACAGAGCTGGAGTCTTGCAGGCGGGTCACTGATAAACAGCAGATATCGATGGAGAGGGTCTCTAATGTTCGGGCAAGTGCTGCCTGTTGACCGATCTGTAGCAAAGTGTGTACATTGAGGCATGCCAACCTGAAGGATGATCGATGGCTCCAAATGGAAGTTGTTGATGTGTGCGTGGCCGCTTGCTTGGACCTGGGCTTGTTAACAGGGCAAGAATGACGCTCCGCGTTCACATGTGAGTTGAAACTAGAAGACAAACGACTAATGAAGCAAGGTGGGGGTGGGCCAAGAATTGCGGGGTTGAAAACAGCGGGGATAAAAGTGAAGCTGGAACGGGACGGAAAGCGAGAAAATGCGTAAGAGGAGGAGTAAGGAGATGGGAAGGCTTGAGCAGTAGCATCCCAACCCCTATCAACCCTGTTGGATACAACAGATAGGGCAGGGTTGATTATCCTCTGTGCTGGCCAGAGCATCAAGAAACTATTTGAAGAGAAATTCATAGTATTGCGTGAGCAGGATACTGTCAGGTTGCCCAGGCCTAGATAGGAGAACGATTAGGATTCTCAAATAAACCCTTTGCTTCAAAAACCTGACAGCAAGGCAGCGGGTTTAGGTTACGCTACAAGGAGTTCGTTTTAAGGAATAAGGAGCCACGCCATTCAAACCCCAACCAGGAGGCTGAGGTTGTCTGGTCTCTAACCATTGACCAATCTGGTGTTAAAGGCTCTGAAGGTGCAAAAAACACCACCCAGCGTAGCTCAATGGATCTCTGAAGCCCGCGAACCATCGCACCCAAGGTAAGATCCAGGTTCATTGCGATAGGTGGTACTGTCCGCTGAATACTCCGGAACGTTTCAGTCTCTGCTTGTAAGTGAGATTGGGCATTCCATTGACTCACTTGGATGCACGATTTTGAGGCTGCTCCAGCGCATTGATGTCGTGTTTCAGCCATGAATGCCAAGAGTAAACTGTATATTCGGCATGGGGGCGAACCTACGCACTGAGCGTCGGTCGAAAAATCGAGATTTCTATTTGTCCGAACGCCCTTCTCACCAGCCCGTCGTGTTATTTTTACCAGTTCTCGATGCATCTTTAGTTTAGCTGAAGCAAATCAGGTCACCCTGTACCAGCACACACAGATCCCTTTCGACGGAAGGTCACTGCAGTACAGGCGCTCCGAGCCTGTATGGTTACTTGCTTTTGCGTGTTGTGGAGAGGACCTTGCATTTACTGGCGTTGAATGTCAAAAACATACGGTTTGACCACTGGTTTACTGTATCTAGGCCAATCTGAAACAGCTGCTTGTCAGCATTCCTCTGCATCCTGCGCCAAACGGTAGGAAATTTGAAGTGATTGCCCTTGAGAGGTCAATAATAAACATAAGAATCGTGGGCTTAGAACAGCCTTGCGCACCATGTTGAAGGAGAAGGTTGACGAGCCAGCTTAAACGAGTGCCGTCGATCCTGCAAAGTCTTAGTTTGGAAAGCAGTATCCTCTGATCTAGAACAAGGTCACCAAACTACGGCCCACGGGCCGTATCCGGCCCACGACGTCAGTTCATCCGATTCACCGACTGTACCCTAATTTGCTAGATAAGGCGGATAGAACACG